AGGGACATTAATTGTGGTTTTTATGGCTAGAAGGACTTGGGCAGGGGAGCAAGTGGTGCATAGAGAAGGCTTAGACATAGGGAATCTCCTTTCATTTTCCAGTGCATTCACAAAGGGTGTAGAGATCCCTGAGAATGGTAGGGTCAAGTGTGTCATTTAGTGGCTGTTAGTTATTGTTCAATTGGTATTGTGGCCAAGCCTGATTGGAAAGAAAAGTGAGTTTTTCTGCCTTTAGATCAGGTGAGAGCCATAGGGGCTTGAGGTTGGCCAATAGACAGCCCAGAGGGATGTCTGAGGGAATTTTGGAAGGTCCAGCCCCCATGATGAGACCCTGGCAGGTGTCCTTTCCTAGATAAAGCAAAGAAGTGGAGGGACCTCAAGGGAACGTTTTCATCAAGAGGTTCACCCATGCCTCAGGAACCTGGTTCCTGAGCCCAGTGAGTCAGGACCTAGTACTAGGATTTTCCCAACTGAGAGAGAGAGAGAAAGACAGAGAGAGAGAGAGAGAGCCATGACTCACGACCCGAGGGAACTCACCAAGGGAGGAACAAGTAAATCAGCTAGTGGTGGGTGAGTTACAAGAAGTACACTGGACTTGAGGAGGTTCCCTGTGAGAGCGAGTGGTGATGGCAGCAATAGTCTGGGATCAGGGGTCCTGGCAAAGCAGCTCAAATCCCAGTAAGTTTATCCAGGCTTAAGGAAGGCAGCTCCCACCTATGAGGGCCTGAATTTACTGACTGGGAGAGCAAGGTCGATACTGGAAACTCACTTGTTCCTGACCAATGCACCAAAATGTTAGGAAGAAAAAATGCTAGCCAAGAAGAAAAAATGGTGCAGCAACTTCTCTCAGCAGGTCTGGCCTTAAGTAGCATTTGGGAGAAAGCAAGGGCTAGGGAATGGGCAAAGAGAGGTGGCAGGAGATAAGGGACGTGGGGCTTTATTCTGCAAGGGATGAGACCAGCTGCTGAAGCAAGGTCTAGGGGCAGGCAAAGGAAGGTGGCAGGAGATAAGGAACAGAGGGCTTTGTTCTGCAAGGTATGAAACTAGCTGCAGCTCAGGCTGTAGAATGGTGGCAAGGGCAGTTCTTATCCTTGGTATCTTTAGGTTTTGTAAAATTAGAGTATTCACATTATCTTTTAGAACTTCTGTATTTCTGGGAACTGTGATTCTGTCTTTATGCTCACCAAGACTGGATGTATAAGACAACTCAATATTTGTGAACATTAAAATAAATTTTACCTTCTTAAAGGTGTTATAAAGAAAAATAACAGAGGGCAATAATAGTAGTAAAGACAAGTATTTTCCTAAGTGTGTCTCTGATGTTTGTATTCTCTCTGCTGTTTGCACAATGATGGAATTGCCTAATGTCACACTCCTCAGAACATATCTCTTTTGTTAAATAATGAGAGGCTGTATGTGTATGTGTATGTATTTATCTGTTTATCATCTATCTATCTATTTATCTATGTAATGCCTCCAGTTGCATCTCAAAAATTCAGTGGATGGTAGAAATCAAAATGGAAATACTTGCATCATTTTAGAGTAGAAAGGCTTCTCCCAGTTCCAATTACTCTGTATCATTTCTTGAAAAGAGTTTGTCCTGGAGCTTGATACAGGGGAAAAAAAGTGACAACTTTCCTAAGCAGGTGAGGAATACCAACATCCTGACCTTAGTTGTATACTTCTGAGAAGTCATTGACAAGGTTCATAGATTAGGACAGCGCCCAGTTAGATGGATTGATATATTCTACCCAGTGCTCAAACTTGAGAGTCTGTAAAGGCAGAGATTTTAATTTTGTAAGTGATGACTCAGCAAGATACCTGCATTGACTTCCTACCATGAAATGCTGAAAAGTGAATTAATTACTTGTGTGATTACAAAAAAAACAAATATGTGTAAATGGCATCTAATATTGAATATTCTAGAAAATGTCCTAATTTTTGGGTATGATTTACATGACAATTTCTAAATAAAAAAGCACTTTATATTCCAAAGGGAAGGCCTGAAAGACTCTAGATAATGACACATCTTAATAAAGAGATGAGTTAGACCAATTGAGGAACTGCCAAACTTCAGTGTATTTAAATCCATCCTTTGCTACTATTTTAATTACTTGAATTGCTTTCTCTTAACCGTGCAACTAGTCACAGATATGTGATCCAAGCCAAACCAATCAAAATTTTCCTTAGATTATACAGCTAAAATCAAAGAAATTAGAACAGTCAAATTTTGGTAGTGAAGCTAAGGACTTACAATGGGAAGATAATTATGAAAGAATAATTAATAAAGACAAGAAAAAACCCAGAGGCAAGAAATAGAGCAAGAGAATTTTTGATGAATTCAATACTCTAATGCTAGAATTTTTTTGTCAAAAATAGCCAGATGCAATGCTACCCTTTCTAATTCTCAGCTTGAGAAAAAAATAAATATTTTCAATATTCACACAAATATTTTAATAACAGTAAATTTCTAAAAATGTTTTTAATAATTAACTAATTAGTGTGAAAATGAAAAATTACAGAAAAAACAAGTAAGAATTTTTGAGTGAGAATTTCTGCATACTGAATGCATTGCTTTGGTAATTTTAGTTATTTCATTTTTATTGTTTTTTCCTTTATTGTTGTGTTGGGTGGAGTTACACTGTGGCATTTACAAAGGTTCTTACAGTGTACCATACTTGAATTTACCCCCACCACTCTCCTTTATCTCCCAGGCCCCCTATTCCTGGAATAGTTTCAACAGGTATCATTTGTGTATTCACACACATGTGCACACATTTTTTACATGGTATTCACCTCCTGTCTTCTTTCCTTGCCAGTTCCCCCTTCCGGTGGTGTCAACCTGCCTCCCCTGGACAGGACCTGTTCCACCCTTCTGTTCAGTTTTGTAAAGAAAAAAGAGAAGCAATAAAAGAAAACATGACATTTTTGCTTATTTTACACAGGGAGGTTCTTTGTGATATTTCCATGTATAGGTATTTATTGGATAGTTCATCACATACTGTGAAAATTGTGATAATATTTCCTTTTCAATAAATATTCTTATTTGGTAGATTGGCATATCCATTCCTTATGAAGAATGCATTTCTCAATAAGCATTAATTGCTCAATTTACATTCATAATTCGTCTATCTTTTGGCAAATGGAAAATTATTTTGGTTAAAAATATCTAGTACACCTCAGCTTGAAGTCGTTTGCTCTATCACTAAACATGATAAGGACTGCTCTCTCTCTTTCTTAAAATGACACTGAAAATAAGTGTATATTTCTTTTAGATGAGTCTTCAGAGAAACTGAAGATTAGATTCATTTGTGCTGATTATGGATGTTGGTTCTTTCACCTAATATATCTAAGACCTTGAAAAGTTGGTTTTAATTAATAGATTCAATTAGCTAATATAAACATTGAAATATTTATTCTTATGTCACATTGCCATATGGAACTAATGAAATAATGTGTAGAATATTATAATAGTTCTTAGGCATTAGTAATTACATCATAGTGTAAAACATCTTTTTCTGAGTAAATATTATTAATGTTTATCTTGTATGCAACAAGTTAAAACATACAATTGAAAAATTTACAATGTGATGTAGAATTCCACTGATTTTATTCCATAAAATAAAATATTTATGAAGACTAAATGATATGAATTAATTTTTGCATTTAACAAGAAAGAAATATGTATGTATTTGTAAAACAAATCCAAGAGTACACAATGTGAATGAAAAAATGACATAAAAGAAAAATCATAAGAAATAATTTTAAATAAACCAGAGAAATTATATTTATTGACGTATACCTTCTCACCATGTTTATGTAATACCACTATGACAATATAACTGGAAAACTTGTCAAATTGCATTCTACTTTTATATTTGTCACTTTATCTATACATGTCATTTTAAGAGTGGCTATGTCACCAAGTTTTGTTGATTAACTTTTAGACAGTGTTAGGAAGAAATTGGGGTTTTTTGTAATATCTGTATCCATTCTCAATGAACGCATTTTATGTTAGGAATCAGTGTGAGTCAATGCCCTGTATAGCTATCCTTATCTCAACCAGCAAAACCCCTTGGTCCTTCCTATTATTGCTTATACTCTCTCTACAACAAAATTAGAGATAAGGGCAAAATAGTTTCTGCTGGGTATTGGGGGGGGAGAGGGAGGGGTGAGTGGGTGGTAAGGGAGGGGGTGGGGGCAGGGGGAGAAAATGACCCAAGCCTTGTATGCACATATGAATAATAAAAGAAAATGAAAAAAAAAAAAGAATTTTGATTTTATTGTCTGTATTTATTTTTTACCCAAATGCTTGTTTATTCTCTTTGGATTATGATTTTATTGCCTTCAAAATAAAGAACTGATGATGAAATTTAAAAAAAATGAAAATAAAGTGTGTGTTCATGCTTGGTCTATAAAAACTTGCACATGAGACAATGATATAAATTTAAAAATTTAACCACAAAAAATTCAGAGAAAAATGGCATCATAAAGTTGTAGTCTAAATGAAACTTTAATAACAGAACCAACAAACTTAGGTATAAAGTATAAAATTATCATGAGCAATAAAGCATACATGCAGATCTTCTGCAAAGAATATTACTTATGCTTAGAAAGTAATAAAGCTCGAGTTCAAGCATTATGTATATAATTGCTTAAAAATATTCTCCAAGCAATTTTAGCTTAAGAACATTTGTATTTTGATGTTTGGTTAAGGAATATTTCTTAACATGAAGTTTTGTAAAGAAAATATGAGCTGGTGTTGATATTAGGATAACGTGAAAAGTTTGTCAAAACAAATGATATGCCTTTGATATATAGCAACCAAACTACATAAAAATTTATGAAACACAAAGTTCTTTTCCTAGTGTTGTTATGTATTTCCTGTACAAATTGTCTTTAAAACAAACACATAACAAATCACTAAAGTTTTCTCCTCTTCTAAATTATATGGAACAATCAAGATATCTAAATGAAGTGAACTGGGTCTCTTAGGTGACGCTGCAGCCAAGATGGCGCTGGCGGCGGCAGCAGTGGCCTGAGCGTCATGCTCCGTGTTCTCGGCGACGGCTGTGGTCTCAGCCGGGGCCTCGAGTGTCTCCCAGCGAGTGAGCATCAGGTGCCTCTCCTCTGGCCCGGTTAGCCCGACAGAGAAGAGGCCGTGAGAAACAGCGAGAGAGCGGCGCCTCCCTCCTCGGCACCATGGCCGGGATCATCAAGAAACAGATCCTGAAACACCTCTCCAGATTTACCAAAAATTTATCTCCTGACAAGATAAATCTAAGTACCCTGAAAGGAGAAGGTGAACTGAAGAATTTGGAGCTGGATGAAGAGGTGCTCCAGAATATGTTGGATTTGCCCACGTGGCTTGCTATTAACAAAGTTTTTTGTAATAAAGCATCCATTAGGATCCCATGGACAAAACTGAAAACACATCCTATCTGTTTGTCTCTAGATAAAGTAATAATGGAAATGAGTACATGTGAAGAACCACGAGCTCCTAATGGCCCATCACCAATCGCAACTGCCTCAGGACAAAGTGAATACGGCTTTGCTGAAAAAGTAGTTGAGGGAATTACTGTTTCTGTAAATTCTATTGTCATCAGAATTGGAGCAAAAGCCTTCAATGCATCCTTTGAACTTTCTCAGCTAAGGATCTATAGTGTAAATGCAAACTGGGAACATGGAGATTTAAGATTTACTAGGATTCAAGATCCACAGAGAGGAGAGGTTTTGACATTTAAAGAAATGAATTGGCAGATGATTCGAATAGAGGCAGATGCTACCCAAAGTTCACATCTTGAAATTATGTGTGCTCCTGTTCGATTAATAACTAATCAGTCAAAAATCAGAGTCACACTTAAAAGAAGATTGAAGGACTGCAATGTCATAGCAACAAAATTAGTTCTAATATTGGATGATTTATTGTGGGTTTTAACGGATTCCCAATTGAAGGCTATGGTACAGTATGCGAAATCTCTTAGTGAAGCAATAGAAAAATCAACAGAACAAAGGAAGAGTATGGCTCCCGAACCTACACAGAGCTCTACAGTGACCCCATCGGCCCAGCAAGTGAAGACACCCCAAGCATCAAATGCTCCTGATCTGAACGATGCCATTGTGAAACTCTTCAGTGACTTTGATGTGAAAGAAACCTCCCATCACTTAGTGATTTCCCATTTAGATTTACACATATGTGATGATATTCATGCGAAAGAAAAAGAATCAAACAGACGTATTACTGGAGGTGCTATGCAACTGTCTTTTACACAGCTGACCATAGATTATTATCCTTATCATAAAGCAGGAGATAGTTGTAATCATTGGATGTATTTTAGTGATGCAACCAAAACAAAAAATGGATGGGCCAATGAATTGTTACATGAATTTGAGTGCAACGTTGAAATGCTTAAACAGGCTGTGAAGGATCATAATGTAGGTTCACCTCCTAAATCCCCAACACATGCCTCTCCCCAGCACACACAAACAGAGAAGGACTCCACTCTGAAAGGCGCTTCTAGAACACCTTCAGTATTATCTCAACAATCAAAAGCTAAGCTAATGTCTAGTTCTGTTGTGATTAGACTTGCAGATTTCAATATATACCAGGTCTCCACAGCAGAACAATGTCGTTCTTCCCCCAAAAGTATGATTTCCTGCAATAAAAAATCCCTGTATCTTCCACAAGAAATGTCAGCTGTCTATATAGAATTCACAGAATATTACTATCCAGATGGAAAGGATTTTCCAATTCCATCTCCCAACCTCTATAGCCAGCTGAATGCACTACAGTTTACTGTGGATGAAAGAAGCATTCTGTGGTTAAATCAATTTCTATTGGATTTAAAACAGAGTCTTAACCAATTCATGGCTGTGTACAAGTTGAATGACAATTCAAAATCTGATGAGCATGTTGATATTCGAGTTGATGGCTTAATGCTAAAGTTTGTCATTCCCTCTGAGATGAAATCTGAATGTCATCAAGATCAGCCACACGCCATTTCTATTCAGAGCTCTGAGATGATTGCCACAAATACAAGGCACTGTCCAAACTGTCGACATTCTGATCTGGAAGCTTCGTTTCAAGACTTCAAGGATTGTGATTTTTTTAGTAAAACATACACTAGCTTCCCTAAATCTTGTGGCAGTTTTAATCTTCTACATCCAATCTTCCAGAGACATGCTCACGAACAAGATACCAAAATGCATGAAGTTTATAAAGGGAATATAACTCCCAAACTGAATAAACACACACTTAAAACTTCAGCAGCCACAGATGTTTGGGCTGTGCACTTCTCTCAATTTTGGATAGATTATGAAGGGATGAAAAGTGGAAAGGGACGACCAATAAGTTTTGTAGATTCTTTTCCCCTATCTGTGTGGATCTGTCAACCAACAAGATATGCAGAGTCACAGAAAGAGCTCCACACTTGTAATCAGGTGTCTCTAAATACATCCCAAAGTGAATCTAGTGATCTGGCTGGCCGACTGAAGCGGAAAAAGCTTTTGAAGGAGTACTATAGTACAGAGTCTGAGCCCTTGACAAATGGTGGTCAAAAACCTTCTTCATCAGATACATCTGTAAGATTTTCCTCTTCATCAGATGCAGATATTCATGTCCTGGTTCATGTTCATAAGCATGTCAGTATGCAGATTAATCACTACCAGTATCTGTTCCTGCTTTTCCTGCATGAGTCTCTCATTCTGCTTCAGATAACTTAAGGAAAGATGTGGAAGCTGTGACTGGAAGTCCTGCTAGTCAGACATCCATTTGCATTGGAATTTTACTTAGAAGTGCAGAACTGGCTCTTTTGCTACATCCAGTGGATCACACAAATACTCTTAAATCTCCTGTTTCTGAAAGCATGAGCCCAGTGGTTTCTGATTATTTGCCTACAGAAAATGGAGAACTTTTGTCTTCAAAAAGAAAACAGTTTGGTGGTATAAATCCAATGAGACGTGTAACTATAAATCATATGTCAGACAACAGATCTATGAGTGTGACCTTAGCCACATCCCTTTAAAGGATCCTTTGCTTTTTAAATCAGCTAGTGATACAAATCTGCAAAAAGGTACTTCTTTTATGGACTATTTATCAGATAAACATTTAGGGAAAATAAGTGAAGATGAAAGCAGTGGACTTGTTTATAAGAGTGGCTCAGGAGAAAATGGATTAGAAGTAAGTGACAAAAAGGACTTACCTTACACAGATTCAAACAGTGTTTTGAACTACAGAGAAGACTCAAATATGCCATCATTTGGTAATGATGGTAATCAAAGCATACTTTCCAATAGTTTAACTAATAAAGGCAGTGAAACTATAGAGTCAATCTTCAAAGCTGAAGATTTGCTTCCAGAAGCAGCTTCACTCCCTGAGAACCTGGGAATTAGTAAAGAAGAGGCACCCACAATTAGAACACTTAAATCTCAGTCATCTTTAAGTGGAAAGCCTAAGGAACACTGTCCACCCAACATGGCTCCACTTTGTGTTTCTTATAAGACCATGAAAAGAAGTTCCTCACAAATCTCATTGGACACCATATCACTTGACAGCATGATATTGGAAGAGCAGTTGTTAGAAAGTGATGGAAGTGATAGTCATATATTTTTGGAAAAAGGAATTAAAAAGAACTCCACTACAAATTACCAGAGCCCAGCAAATCTGCAGAATTGTGGTGAAACATCTCCAGATGCTATCAGTACAAACTCAGAGGGGGCTCAAGAAAGTCACGATGACCTGATGTCAATAGTGGTGTTTAAAATTATTGGTATAAATGGGGAAATTGAAATCCGAGGAGAAGATACAGAAATCTGTCTTCAGGTGAACCAGGTGACACCAGATCAGTTAGGCAATATCAGTCTTCGACATTACCTCTGTAATCGTCCAGTTGGTTCTGATCAGAAAGCTGTAATTCATTCCAAATCCTCTCCTGAGATTTCTCTGAGGTTTGAAAGTGGGCCTGGTGCTATAATACACTCTTTGCTTGCAGAAAAAAATGGGTTTCTGCAATGCCATATAGAAAACTTCAGCACTGAGTTTCTTACATCTTCTCTTATGAATATTCAGCATTTTTTGGAAGATGAAACTGTTGCAACTGTAATACCAATGAAGATACAAGTTTCTAACACAAAAATAAATTTAAAAGATGACAGTCCTCGGAGTAGTACAATATCCCTTGAACCAACTCCTGTAACTCTGCACATTGATCATCTTGTGGTAGAGAGAAATGATGATGGCTCTTTTCATATCAGAGATTCTCATCTGTTTAACACTGGAAATGATATGAAAGAAAATATGAAAAGTGACTCAGTGCTGCTGACCAGTGGAAAGTGTGATCTGAAGAAACAACACAGTGTCACTCAAGCCACTCAGACAAGCCCAGTGGTTACTTGGCCTGAATACCCATTTGATTTCACTAGGGAACAGCTCATGGAAGAGAATGAATCTCTTAAACAGGAACTGGCAAAAGCTAAAATAGCTCTTGCAGAGGCTCACTCGGAAAAAGATGCCCTTCTTCACCATATAAAGAAGATGAGAGATGAGTAGCATGTGTGGCCATCCGAACTCAGTCTGCAGCTGTGGAATGGTAGATTATGTTTGCGGTGTGGATGTTTCCAACTACTGGAAGACTTTCCTTTTCATGAAAATAAAATGAAATAGAATGTGGTGGAGTGGTGACTCTTCCAAAGCCATTGTAGAGGCACTAGGTACGAGCATTGGCAGCTTTCGGTTGTTTTGTGTTTGGGGGTTTTGAACCCTCTTTCAGCATATACTGTAATATAATTACATGCTTAATGAAAAGAAGATGTCATTTCCTAATTTTGATATCTCATTATAAGCATTTTTTTAAAAGAATATGAAAACCTGTTGTGTTTATCCAGATTGCTGAATATTTTTCTCATTATTTGTTAATAATTTAGTATTATTTACAAATTTTCAAATTCTTTTAGGGCTGACATAAAATGAGTATTATACTTAAAATGTTATTAAAATTATGTATTAACTCTATAATTATTTAATTACTGTAAAAGTCCAATCAGAATAATAAATTGTATGATTTATGAGTTTATGAACTTTGAGAAATCTTCACCTTAATGAATTTATAAAGTAACTTGAATATGTGAAAAAGATCACTTTAAATGACGGGTAAACTTTAAATAAGTGGAAGGTATAATTTTTAACAAAAAGATGGTACAAATGTAAAAATAAAAGCACAAGTATTAGAGTTTATGACCAAGTAACTTAAAAAACATTGCCTGTACATTCCTTTAAACATTTATTGCTAGAAGTAAAAGAGTAATTTAACTATCCTACTTAATTTGGTAGCATTTGTAACTATAAAAATTTTAATTAATACTATTTATATTATTTCTCTATCCTTCCTCTTTAAGAAGAATGTTTTTGAAGAATTTGCTTTTCACACACATAAAACAATTTCATACCATTCTTGTATCATTTTACAAGGGTGTTTGCACATACTGAATTTATAATGCTAGTTTTGACTAAAGCTGTATGTGATATATATACATACATACACCATATCACAATATATACATACGTATATTTATAGTTTATAATAAGAGTCATTGGTACATTTTGAATTCTATTTTGTAGGATTAAGGTTTGAAAACATCACGAGAGAAAACTCAGTTGTGCCTTTTGAAATAAAAGTGCACAAGTGTTTAAGAAACAGAGGCTTCTGAAGATTTAAAAAAATTTCTAATAGAATTACAGAGGTGTCTGTTTTGAAATTCACATTCCTAAACATAAACATTTCCAAAATAGAACGTGGAACAGCTGTACTACTCTTTCTTTAAGATACTTGAAAATTCTAAATCACATGGCAACACGTTATGGTGCTTTGCTCGTTTGGCATGACTTCCATAGCTGCCCCTATATCGAGTGCGTGGGGAAAGTCCATATTTCATTTACACAAGTATTGACTCTTTTCCTTCTGTATCATCCATTTTAATTGACATTACTGAAAAATACAGGTACTGAGGATATAGCTAAGAACAAATTGTTAATGTTTTACCTCAGAGTATTTAAAAAATCATGTTAAACTATGTTAATCTAAAATTGTATAATAGCCTTAGGTTAAATACAGAGGTCTAATTAAAGATTTAAAATGTATAGCTTAGGTCCTTAGTAGACAGCCTTTTATTTGTAGATATATAGAAACAGTTTCTATTATATTATTAAAAAGAAGGATTAATGGGATGGACATTAACTTCTGAGCTGACAGTGTTTCTCAGGATTAACTTATGCTATATAAACTTTAAATTTTTCTATGGTATAATTGTTTAATATTGTAGAAGTTGAATGTTTCCTATTCCTTTTAAATGTATTTGGCCTTCCCAAGAAAATCATAAACAGCAAAGACGATAATATTCTGAGTATTCTATTGTGTTTTGTTGGATTTTTTAAAATAAGGGGTACTATTTTTGTAGAGGTTTAAAATTCATGAAGCACCTCCAAAAACATTATCCAAACCATACAAGGTAGGTATTATTCAGTTGAAAGTTGGGGGAAAGAAAAAAACCAAAACCAAACAAGCAAGAAAAAACCATAAAAGGCTCAGAAAAAAAAATGAGTTGACTAAAATCACAATTAGTAGCCTGGGCTTTTATTTTCACTTAATCATTTATAGATTTTGGGTGAAGGGAAAGAATTACTGTCTTAACTGTTTTCCTTTTAAGATGACTATAATATTTTCGCTAGTGTGTGCTACTGTTGTATGTATTATTCAAGTTACTTAAAAGATAGACCATTTTTGCTTCATTAAGCTAACCTCAAACTATTTAGCAGGATGATAAATACAGGAGTAAACCTATAATAAATTCATCAGGGTTTTAAAAATGACTATTAATTAGAAAAATAGTTGTCATATCTTGAATTTTTTGGTTAAATTTCTAGCAAGTAGATGCTAATGATTGGTGTGTGGAAATGGTAATTGTGCTTTGCTTTTTATTTTTGTTTGGGGAAGCATTTATGTTTATTTTTAATCGTAAGTAAAAATGATATGGTGTAAAAAATAAATAAATAAATAAATAAATGAAGTGAACTTAATTTTAATAATGTAGGTTTAATTTTAAACATGTAGGACACTTAGATATTTTCTTATGAGGAAATCATAGCTGAAAGTGGTATCCAGAAGATTATATTGGTAAAAAATAGGTAAAAATTGATGAAGTCATTAAATTTTCAAAAGTTATAAATTATCCTGTAAAGCTTCACTGGCTGCAAATTAGCCTGTGCTGTAGCCCTCTGCTAACAATCTATAGATCATTTTATTATTCATGAATTTTAGTAATTCCAGGACACCACAGGTCATCTTATGCTCATTTATTTGCTAAACACCTTGTGCTAGTATGCCTATGCTGAAAAATTGCTAACTATTTACTCCCTGTGAGAAAGCAAGCAACAAAGTGCCGATTTGGCCCCAGACATCCAGAATGCCAGGCTGCACATACATCTTGCTGTCAGTGAAATAAATGAGCCCTTAAATTGGCTGCAAAGCTTTAAGAACTGAAATTTATATGTCTAGTTATCAAACAGAAAGTTCAGAACACCTGCCAATATGAAACATAATTGTGACAAACTGTTACATTTTACCTTAACTTTTCAGTTTTAATACCACAGCTTCATTATAAAATATTCTACAAATACCCAACTCAGTGGAACTAAATAATTATGACTCTATAATGTGTGCACACATGTGTGCATGTGAATGTGCATGCACACACGTGTGTGTGTTTGCATAATGGCCTTACCATTTAAACATCCATCAGCAGATGAATGACATGTCACAAACAGCCAATGCCTCAGAATTTTGTTTGGGCTGAAAGTCAAGTACCAGCAGATTTGCTAACTTCAAGAAGCAGTATAGCTTCTATACAAGTTCCTCTCAAAATACCAGCACTACCAGGCATTAAGAGTTTCTGTCTTATTTTATTTTTCAGTTATTTGAGAATTTGACAGTTGAAAATTTGCTAAATATTGCTAATCTCTTTATACTCACTTAAGGGATAAAAGAACTTTCCGTAAGGGTTATATGACTAAGAAAACAAAGCCAGGCAGTGATGGCGTGGAGGCAGGGATCATTTGCAGGAGTTCAATAACTCTGATTTCTAAGTAGAGTGGTAAAATATTTATATTAATAATTACAATAATGAAAGCAACTGTGACAAACACTAAATATTTAAAAACTCTCTTATGTGTGCTTTATATTAATTTCTCACTATGACTTCAATTTTAGTGATGATAAAAACTGAGGTTCAACCAGAATAAGTAACTTGCTCTGGTCCCTCATGTACAGACTACACATTATGGAAAAGATTCAATTTCTCCAGCTAAGTTTAGCATTCACCTAGTTAACCCACTACATTAAATCCATGAAGCTTCAAGAAAGACTAAAGCCCAAGGTGATTATATCCAAGCTACCTCTTTTTTTTCTAGTTCACAAGGCATAATAATAATATATACTTACCATTAGATGTGTTTTTCTCTTTAAAGGCATACTACCTTTTAACAGACAATCATAAACAATCTGAAGAAAATATAACTCTCTTGTGTATAGACTCTTTTATGACTCCTGTGTTACATATACGTGGATGAGTCAATTTTTATGTACAGAATGCAGAAACTCAGTGAGGCAGGAAAAGCTTCAATCTGTTTTGGTTACAGGTTATATTTTTTCCTTCTTGTTAGCTTGAGGGCAGTCTTTCTCATACAAAACAATGGAGTATGTGTATTACTCAAATGGCAATATATTCAATATTTTAAAATTTCTATTTCATTTGAAATGTTCAAATGAGAGTTTTGCAAATATGTATTGTCAGTGTAACAGTATCCTCCCTATTAATACAGCTCACAAAAGGAAAACATGGATATATCTTATGTTCTTATGAATTCATTTTGTGTGGAATTCACGGGACAAAGAAACAGCTTTAATAATTCTTAAGGAAGAGCTACACTTTAAAAATGTATGACACTTTGCTTGATTAAATTTTTTTTCTGATGCTGTCTTTCAAATGTTGGCTCTTAGATTGGTGATAGCCCATGATTTGTCCTCTTGTTAGAGAGGAATGTGATTTGACTGTCACATATTTTGCTAACAGATTTTCCAAGTCACAGTCTCCTTCATAATATTCACTGTAAGCTGCCCGTATAACTATCTTAGAAAAATACAAAATTGATTATTTTACATTGCAGTTTAACTGCTTTTGTTGAAAATTCAACTCTGCCATGTACCATCTTAATTTTAAGTTGCCAGTGTATCCAGTGCCATGGATTATTTATAATGCCTTTTTAAAAACTTCTGAGTGACTATCCAGCACTGAATAAACTATTTTATTTCTAATTTACAACTCTTTTTTCAATCAATTCCCTGCAACAAAAAAATGTGTGATAAGAATATTTCTAATTAAAAATATAATCACCATTTCCTCAGATTTTAAGAATAACACATATTTTCAATATACTTGGAAAGAATAATTTATTTAAAACTCAGATATACTAAAAGAAGTGAAAAGCTCAAAGAGACTTAGTAACAAATAAGTATTGAAAGTAGCTAGTCCTACAGGCAGATGAGGGAAGGTGAAAATTGAAGTGGTACTTTGTATTTCCCAGCTCCTCACTTGCCAAGAGCTTGATGTGACTCTGGACATAAAATGTTTTAAGTCCTGTCAGGTAGTCTCTCCAGCCAGGTACAGATGTGCTGGAAATCTGGTCCTTTTAGCTCTAACTGTATGAATAAAAACCCTCCTACAATCTACCCCTCTTTTTCTCCTTAGGGGACATTCGTGGTTTTCCTATGTCTATTCATAACAATTTGACCTAGTAAGCTCTTCAGTTACCCAATTTGACTATGTCTTGGGTTTCATACTGGGACCTCACAGATTTGGGAAAAACTAGGAAAAATGAATGTTCATAGACACA